GGAGTCAAATGAATTAGGTGAGAGCAAAATTGCCGGTGAACTCTGACCCGGGCCTGGTGTGAAAACAAGGCTAAGGTGATCTGCCGACCGTGTGACTCTACATCTGGGAACTTGAATAAGACGAGTGTAAGAGAGAAGTCAAGAGGTGTTTATCTGGCAATAGGCTGAGTTTTTCCGAGTTATTCGATGATATTTCGCTTATGTTAAACGTGAGAAGATTATGCGTGGTTGTGGATAGTCTGATCAGCGCCGCGAAAGTGTGTGGTGTGATTTCTGCATGGTGTTGACAGGTATGTGATGCGGTCAGTATAAAATATGGACTGCGGACTGCGGACCACGGACTGCGGACTGGGTATAAAATACGGACTAGGTATAAAACGCGGACTCCGGACTGAGTATAAAACACGGACTAGGTATAAAACGCGAACTACGGACTATGTATATAAAAACAGCTTTAGAAGGTAAAACTGAGAGAAATAGAAAGCGGACTAGCAAAAACAGTAGTCCCAGCTTTAACATTCCCTTGGCTGTTCACGTAGTCTATTCTTCCCACTGAGAAGGAAGGCCTCAAGGCAACTGAAATTAGACTCTGAGTTTTATAAAAAAAAGAAGGAGTTTGAAGAGATTTCAATTTGCAGTTTTAAACCAATAAGAGGCACCGAATTAAAAAAAAAATAGTATGATCAGTAAATTTCTTATCGGATGCCACAATTCCGCTTCAAATAAAGCCTTGGGAATATAATTATAAGAACTGAATGAAGAACTCAGACGAGAAGGTCAATGCGATGCACAAAAGCAGTATTTAGGTGCGAGGGATTACTCACATACGTGAATAATAACCGAAATGAATCATCCTATTCTAAACGATGATTATGATGACATGATTTACACCCTGCTCCTGATCCCCGGAGGGGGTACTACTAAATTCTTGGTGGGGTGTAGTGCTCGGTTCTCCGAATCCTGACCTTATTGCAGACCAAAAAATTGTCATTTTCCACACCCGTTTTCAGACTAGATCTTGAAAATCCATACCCATTTTCGGACCTGGCCTAATTTAGCCTGTTCCAGGTTCTCAGATAGTTGGGGAGACTCCCCAGTTTTCTCCCGTTTTATTTTCGTGTTTTCGCTTTCTCAATTCAGCGGACCCATCTATCTCAGAGCCTTGAACAGGTTAGGTCTAATTAGGCAGAAATATTGTCGTCATTACCAAGTTAGAGCGGAAACAAAAAAATTCTCCAAATGCATTTCGAATTCGCACATTTCTATTTCGTTCTTATTCATTTGGAATTGAAACGATAAATACATCCATTGATGTATGCTCCCGTAGTTCCCTCGAAAACCATACCCGATTCCACACCAAAATGGGCAAAGTGTTGTCAGACCAAAAAGGCCCAAACCCCCTACCCTTCTATTATAGAAGGGAGTACCACCCCTGATCCTGACCCCTTTCATGATTGTTAGAGACCAAGACAAGCTCTAAAAATGGGTGAAGAAAGTAGCATTTTGATCCGGCTCATGATTCAGAGAACCGGGCGGGACACCTCCACCAAGAATTTATAGGAGTATTTTCAACTTTAACTCACGTGTCTTGCTATTTAGCGATCTTTTGATCAAATTTTTCCTTACCTAGAACCAATTTGCACGGTTTTTACCAAAGTAGTCCGTAGTCAGTATTTTATACCCAGTCCGCAGTCCGCGTTTTATACCTTGTCATAAAAACCCAGTCCGTATTTTGTAGTCCGCGTTTTATACCTAGTCCATATTTTATACCCAGTCCGCAGTCCGTAGTCCGCAGTCCGCAGTCCGCAGTCCGTGTTTTATACTGACCGTATGTGATGACTGATCGCGTGGTTGAACTGCGGTTTCGCCAAAATATTCTGTGCCAGCCATTAATATTGTTTCGTAGGTATTTAGCTTAGATGATTGTACCTTGGAAAAGCAACTCTCGACTCAGCAAAATTGGATCTGGGTCTAGTTTCAGCGGGCTCTAATGGCATTGCACCATGATAGGCCGGTTTTCGCAGATAAGAAGGTGATAATTTGTGCACTGTTTCATTCAGTTTGTTGTCTGTTCCATGCGGAATCCTGTTGTTTATCGGACTGCGAAAAAAGTAGTGTTTTGCTAACTATTTAAGTTGTTATGTAAGCCTTAACCAGGCACTCTTTCGCTGCAGTTCACTCAACTTAAAAATTTTTAGACTGAAATAACACCGGTTTGAAACTTTGCGAAGTCATTTTAGTGAATAAATCTTCTAAAATTCGCGTCATTTTAAATTTGGACTCGTTGGAATGCTTCTAGGGACCATTAACTTACTGCCCGGCGCCAGATAAAGGCCTTTGAATGAGTGTTGTTGTTTTAAATTGCCAAGTAGTAGAATGAGTTGATATTTTTGCTAACCCGGTTTTCAAAAATCCAGGTATATATTATACATTCTAATTTTCTTTTACTGACTCTCCCCCATCTTTCCTATCTTCTGATTCAAGATATCCTCGTCTCCTGATGGAGCTGTCTGAGGAGGTTCACCGCATGCGGTATGACGCTTATGAGATACGACCACATCGTCAGCTGGACAGAGGAGTGAGACTGCACATCAACGAGAGGACCAGACCCCCTGGCTGTCAGGATGGAACTAGGTACTCTGTCGAGGAGACAAACCAATTTCATGGGCAGGCCCAAGAAAATGAACGCACGGGTACATTTTCTCTCCCAAGGCAAATAACAGTAAGGAGGTTAGTATACTTACGGCGCAAACAGCGTCCGAACAATCTGATCCTGTTACTCCACAAAAGCAGTGGTATACAGTAAAAACCCGCGAGTAAGAAAGTGAAAATTAAGAACCTGTTACCCTAAAATTTGTCATTTATACCTCCTATAAACAAGAACCTGTTTAGCCTAGAAAATGAAAAACAGGTTCATATTTTTTTAAATCATATTAGTGAAATGCAGCTGCAAAGCTGTGCAAGAATCCTGTTTGGAGAATTAGGAGCTTGGCATTGCTGTGCAAATAAAAGTGCCAATTTATTAACGTAATAAAAAAATAAAAGTGTAAGAGGTTAATTTTGTTGTATTGTTTTTTGAAATACTGTACTTCAATAAAACACAGCAATAGAACCGCAAATAGCCTAAAATTGTGTTAACTACCATTTAAGTTAGAACCTGTTTAGGTTAACTCCAGAAAATGTAGGTTCTTACTCGCGGGTTTTTACTGTATGGCAAGGAGCTCTCCTACAAACTAGGTAGCATGTAATCTAATAAACTGAACTACAGAGAGGGGAGGGTTGGTCCTTTTATCGACAGTCACGTCATGATTAACGGGCCCGGAAAGTTGTTGTTGATTACATTTAAGAAAGAGACTGGTTTCCTTTGTTAGCCAGGAACCACGCTCTTGTTCTTTAGATTTTCATTTGAGTATATGAGTTTTAACCTCGTCCCAGGGCTTTCACCTCCTCAAAGGGAAAAGCCCCTGGGAGGACTGGGGACGAGGTTGTTTGTACCGTTGTAGTTAACATGTCCTCTGACGTAATGTGATATGCAAGCCAATCAGGTCATGCAATCTTTCCAGGTAGTACCCTGGGTACCAGAGGTTTTTCTCGCGTGCGTGACTTGACAGAAACCGAAAACCGCGCTAGAAAAGTCTCTGGCACCCAGGGTATCGTGGTAGTCGCGGCATAAGACTGGAAAAGAATCTCCGCTGGAGTTTGGTATTCGAGCAAAATTTGCAATTCTAGCGGGTCGGGGACGGTAGTAGAATTTGTCTTGCAAGGTTAAGTAAACATGGCGGCCGAAAGGATGCGAAGGAGACTGTATAATTTCACGTTTTTACATGTTATAAAAATATGAAGGGCGCACTGAGCAGTTTTTCTCCGGCTCACACTTACGTATCGATCAGCTTAATTTTGTCAGAGAGGACAAGGCAAATCGCTTTGTTTAAAATCTTTTTACCATCTACGTCCCTATACAGATCATAATCAACTCAGTCTGCATCCTATGAATGTTGTGAACTCGAATTAAACGCGAACGCTTACAAAAATTTGCCTATGACTTATCGTTTCCGTTTCTGATTATATGCAAATCTAGCGTTCATAGACCGATCTTTTAAGCATAAAACGCGTAAGGTCGCTGTTTGTGAGTTGTATTCTTGATTAGCGCAGGAAAAAGTTAGTGTTTTAATATGACCGTTGACGGCTGACTGTGAAACGGTTGTAATTTTTCTTACAAAAGAGGAAACCTAAAATTTTCGGATTCGAAAATGTGATGGAGAGAGGAATCAGAAAAATTCTCACTTTCCTAATACGTTAAATTGCATCTAAAATTTTAGGGAGATGGTCTGCATTTAATTTAATTATTGACTTTATCCTGCAGTTCTATATATTCGTATATTCATTGTTTGTTAATCACCGTTTTTGACAGATTAAAAAGACGTTCAGGGTAACCAATCACATGCAACAGTTCTCAGAGAATAATTCGGGCATAATGTTAAGGCTGTTTTTATTTCCATAGGTTAAGTCCCCCAGAGCCGGTGTCGTCTTTAGGTCAGAACTGTGGTGGAAAGTATACTTGGAAGATAGACCGTTTCTCTCATCACCTCCAGGATGCTAGAAATGGAAGAATAACATCACTCGAGAGCCCTCCGATTTACACAAGCCAACAAGAATACAAGTTCTCCATGCATTTCTTCCCGAAAGGTGTTAATGGTGGAGACGGACGTCACTTTGGCCTTTTTGTTGGCATGATGCAGGGAGAATACGATACTATTCTGGAATGGCCCTTCTGTGGACGAATCGTTCTCACCATCAAGGATCAAACTGGTGATGTTAATGGCTTCCGCAACGATATCAGTGGCACTTTCATGGCGAAAAGAAATGTGGGAGCTTTTCAGAGACCCACTGCCGCCGGGCCATACAGCACCCTGTATGGCTACGCAGAGTTTGCACCGACAGACCTGGTTTGCTCCCCACAGTACTTAAAAGATGATACTGTGATGATTCAGATCGAGATTCATAAAAACATCTAAACATTTTCCTTTGTAAGGAAGCACAACGTCTAGGATGTAAAAACTCCTTGAAATGATTTTCACACTCGCCTTTTTAAATCAAAATACATCCAAAATAGAAAACCTTCAAAAGCGAGCTTCAAGTATTCAGTTATTACAGTAATTTTTATAAAGAAATGTTAGTGCATTGAAAGATATAGCTCTTAACTTTGCGTTAGGTATTAGATATTTAGTTTATTAATATTTTTTAAATGGTTTTCAGTTTTTTACCATTCTACCGTAATACTTCTTTAATAATGACAATTTAACACAAACCTATATCTAAACCCTTTTTAAAAGCGCTGAGGGTGATTAGCAACAAAATTCTCCTTTTAATGTCAAAGCGTCAGAAAACAGTGTGGTAACGAAGGCGGAAACAAGTTGAATTCTTTTACACAGTTTGACAAGTTTTTGTCCCCACTTCATCCATAGGACTGAAATGTACAGGGACAACAAATGAGATTATAAATTTTGATATTAGGGCTTAAAAGGGACCCTCGCTTGATGTTTGTTCAAAAGAGTTGCCTGTTTGATGCATACGTTTTGTAGAAAAAAATTGAGAAGAAAATTTCGTGACTCGCTGACGCTTTGGTGGGTGCACTGGGGAATGAGACTTTTCTACATGAGCGGGGAGCGCCGGGTTATTATGGGTCCCAAATATCGCTAGAGTTCAATGCTGCACATGCAAATAGCAGCAATAAATATATCTTTGCAGCATTGTTGCTATAAGAGCCTTGATAATGTTTGCCCGTTCTTTGCCGCGTGTGAGAGGAAAATCATCGTTTTAGTCCTAGTCGGAAGATTTTACTGTATAGTCTGTTTCTTTTAGATACGGTAGAAAACCACCTTTAGCGTTATTTTTGCGTGGCAATAAGGATTATGATGTTAATATATGCATTAAAATGTGAAACATTGATTTGCAATCATACTAATATCGCATCGATTTGAAACGGATACCGCGTATAGTTACCGAAGGTGATAATTGTTTGTTCCTCGTAGAAGCTAGGCCGGAGGGAGTGTGTAGGGAGTGTAAGATATCAGAGACAGTGGTGAAAGTTTCCCGTTTTTTTTGGGGTGAAGACTTATATTCCGCAATGTAGTCATAGTGTATAGCTGTAAATTATGAAGGGGGTGGCGAAAGGTTTTCTTAGATATAAAATGCCACGTCATTTTAAAAAAAATCGGCACTTGTTATTTTATGTTCCAACGAAGGAGGTGAAAGCGCGCTTCCGTCTCTAGGGAGTGGTGCTTGCCGTGGAGATATTTTCTATTGCGAAAAGGTTTGATGGAGATGATTTAATACCATGATTCTCCTTTAAAGACTAAACTTTGCTTCTTTCGCCATCCCTATTTTATACAAGAAAAAGGCTTTCGTAAAGTTAAAAAGTGAGTAAAAAACGCTCAGCTATAGTGTAGTATCGCTTGTAGTGTCTTAAATCAATAAAGCAAACGTGAAACGTTACGCATTATTTCTTTTATTATTCGAAATGCACGTACATTTGAATTGATAATATAAGAAGCTTGTTTGATTTCAGTCTGTAAGATGGCCATCAATGGCCATAGATCAACATGTAGATAGCCCCTGACTTCCATTCTTCTTTGATCCTTTTTTTTACAGTATAGATTCGTCCCAATGATCCGCTCATCCCATCCCCGGCCCGGATCCCGCCTCACTCCACGCTCCGTTTCTCACAGTTTTTCCAAACAAGTTCTAAGGAAAAAAGAAACAGTTTATGGTAACTGAGTAAATACTACTTCACCTGCAATATAAAAGGGCCAGCAGTCCTATTCACCGAGTTCAAGACATGAACTCCTCTAGAGCCTGTACGTTGAAACTAAAAACAAACTTTGACACTTCTGTAGACGAAAGGAAAAAATAAAAACATAATTATGAGACTAGGGTAATGGTCACCCAGAAGCAAGGCAAGTATTTTGGGAAGCTTCCAGACGAGGAAACTGACAGCAAACAATGGAAACGTGAGGCATAAAGGGATGGAGAAGGATGGTCTGGTGGCTCTCAGGGACGAGAATGTGGTTTCCTTCAGCTCAAATAAGGAGGGTTGGGGGTTCACGTTGGATGGTGGGGTCTTCCCTCTTTCTGGCATCAAGGCTGAGGTGTTTCTATTGTTGTTCAACCGTCGGCTAGGACCATTTTGGGATGAAAAAATAGTAAAAAAACAAAATCCTATAAGATCTTTTATAACAGGCCAGCAGCCCATGAACAGGCCTGTTTGTCCAGATGTTTCCTTTTTTGATTAAATTCTTGCTGCATAAAGAAGAATAGTGCATTTAATGTAATCTCTAGGCCTTTCCCTTGGCTGTGGGAGATCTGGATACGAGATTACATCATTTGCGGATATATTTCTCCTTGACTATTGATTTTGTTAAATTTTGCTCAATTTTGGAATTTTCTGATGCAGCGAATCTTTACATACCCGACTATCCTACGAGTAGCAGTGCCCCTCCTCCACTCCCGCAGAGAAAATGGGGTCCTCCACTTCCACTGTCTCTCCGGGGGAGGGTACGGCTACAGGTAGGCTAGTCTGAGTGACAGGTAAGAAAGGATCCATTGTGTTCATTGTGTTTTGTCCGAGAGAACCCCCTCCCCATCCTTCAGACTTGATCTGATATCATTCATTATTTTCAATACCCAGGGTGTCAGGAGGTTTTGTTTCTTTCTTTCAAACATATGTCCCTACTGATGACCATTTTATTTGGAAGATTGATAAGAGCCATTCAGAGCGCTAGCCCAAGGGGGTCCCCGAAGGTCAGATTCTAATCCTAACGTGAAGTCACCGTTCAGTGTGATGGTCTTTAGGCGTTTTCTCGTTGCTTTGTGGTTTGTTGTCGTCACTTCATGGCTCAAGAATGTTTCAACAGAAGTATGGAAGCCATGCCCTGAAGCTAAAGGTGTGTTTTCTAGTGATGTTAAGATCCTCGCTGTCCTACAATAAAGTGATAAAAACGTTTTTTTCTTTTGGCTGACAAGAAAACATTAGCAATCGAGGCTACTGAACCAGGCAATAAATAAGTCTTAATGGGAATAGGACAGAGTAATTAATAAAAGCCCATCAACCAGTGAGTGAATAAACTGAAAAGAACCAAAATATTGAATTGCTTCACAATAAATCATGTTTTCACAATACCTTTGTACTGTACAATATTTGCACCCAATTTTATTGGATATCATTATATCATCCTTTAAAATTTTTAGCTCCTAGAGTCGTTTAAAAAAGTAACCATTAAATCACTTGCTTCCATAGACAAACAATGAAACAAGAGCAAAGACAAAGGATGCAAGAGTTAGACGTATTTAGGTAAATACAGATAAATTGATTGTATTAATGAGAAATGTCCAAAAGAGGTGAAAAGTTATATTTAAGTTGCACTAATACACCTATTAGAGGTGAGAGTCTACTAAATTGTACATACTTTGCGCACTTTTTATACTTAATTAACAACATTTACAAGAAATACTCGAACACAACATCATGTAAGAATTTTTGTAATAACAACTGCAAAAAAAATTCTGGAAAAAAAAGATTTAAAATTTACAGATATAAAAAATAATTTGCTCTAAAAAAATTAAAATAAATTTCTATAGTCTAACAAATCTTACTATCATGATGGGTGCCAAGGTTCTGTGGAAAAATAGTAGGGAGCCTGTGAAATACAGCGAACCCAGCATTTAATGATCTTTATGCAAAGACAAAACAGATTTCCAAGTAGCTTTTCTTAAAGCAACACTATAGGGGCTTTGGGGGGGCTGGTAGCACAGCCTTGGGACCAATATGGAATATTGACAATATTATCATTACTTTCAAACCAATCAATAAATTATCATACTACTTATGTTTACTTGACATCACTGGTCAATAACTCGTTATTATTTTATTGTAAAGGAGATGGGTCATGAAATCTATTAAAATTCAAACAGTGGGGAGCTGCCACCAAATCATTAATTGAGTGAGACATTAAAATAACAAGTCAAAACTCGAAAAGAACAGTTTTGTTGTCTGTAACATTATAATTTTTGACCGGGAGACATATCCAGTTCAACTTAAAGCTGTAATTTTGTAATTTACCAGTAATTTTGTCATTGAAGCAAAGTTCCATTTTGAGTAAGGATGTTTAATATTTGCAATATTAGCAAAATGAACTAGAAAACTGTGGTACAGCTCCACATGGAAGTGTCTACAAATCAAACAATTCTGATGTTCCTAAGTCATATATATGCCCATACTGCCTTATTCTACAATGATTTTTGACACAAAATGAGACAATACCATAACTCATTAACAAAAGAACTAAAACAGAAATTACACTGACTACTATCAACACTGTATAATCGTGTTTGTGTTCCTTTAGCAGATGCTGCACTGCTTGTAAAAAGCCATTGTTTGGCGCTGGTTCAATGCCCAGTATATGACACATAAGAGAGTATATATTCACATTTTGAAATGGCTCTGAAACAAAGCCTTCTTTGAATGCAGGTCCTTGGGCAAGAAAAAAGGGGTGCATATCAGGGAATTGGTTACTGTAGCATGGTTACCACGACTGTCAATTTTCGACTTGTTTTTTGTAACGGTCCATCCTTCTTCCGCGACAATGAAAATCGGCATGACACGTCGCTTATGCCTGTAATGAAACTCTTCAAGTATTTCTTCTTTAAGGTATGTATATAGATGTGGAACAGTCTTGAGCTTTTGGTAAGTGTCATTCAACTTTCCTTTCTTGGGTAGAATATGAAAAAACACATTAGAAGCATGGTCTACCCTGTTTGGATCAGTGATGAGTGTATACCAGTCTGATGGAATGTATTAATCCAGCTATAAGATGGGAGTTGTTGACATCTGTCATGCCATGGTCGCTTGTGATAATCAGGTTTACCTAAAATAGGTCATAAAAATACAATGGAAATATATTTAAAACCATCAGTTGTTACCTAATAATAATCTTATGGGACTTGTAAAGAGTTACTACATCTTACCATATATATAACATATCACAAGCGTTTACTAAAAGACATTCTCTTCATAATTGAATAAATCCAGTACCACAAATGAAGAGCAAAACAATATGTTTTTTTCGTCCTTCACCTATTTTGACCAACTTTACTGGCCTTCATCAGAGTGAATGGCTGTTACAAGCATCACACACCATTGACAACAACACTCAAATTTGAAAATTTGCATGCACTACAAAGAAAGCTAGATGCCCGCATGCTTTTACCAGCTGTGAGACCTATAGTAGCCCTGTTCTAGCTAAAAAGAAGTCAGTTTAATTTGAGCCCTGAGGCTGAATGCAGTTCAACATAATAATAGGCCCAATTAATCCTGGAGTGCCGACTTTCCTTCAGAGTCAATAACTACCACTTATTAACCTTGTCCAGTTGGTCATTACAGGGAAATCTCAGACTGCTGGTCAGACATTTCCCTGTAATGACCGAATGGACGAGGTTAATGAGTTATTTATTATAAGGCCTTTTCATTATGGACCTGAGCCTGCAATCAATTAAAACAAACAGCTGGATAACTGTAAAAAAAACATGTCTGCACTTCAGTGAGTTGTAAACTTGACCCCACGATACAGTCATGCGACACTGGTCAGTGGATACCCTATTTGACAGCTGTCAATTGACTATTACATGGATGTCCAGAAGGATGTTAGCCTGAGTATCAGGCATTTCTGGGGGAAGGCCTAATACTCAGGCTATAAGGATTTCCACTATCAAGTTTAGCACAGATTTTATATGCCTTGGACAGCCAGCTAGTAATGCATGGCCAAATTTTAACACAAGAAAATAACGCCTGCTTAGCAGCGAATCAGAGCATGCATACTATTGTAGCCATTATAAATATTATAACTCATCTAGATTTAAACAGTCTTTAAAATGAAAGTTGGAGAGCAAGTGTGGCACAGTGGTGAGAGCACCCATCTACTTTTGCTCCTTTTTGGAAGACAGCACCCAGAAAATGGCCCACTAACTAACTCTAAAAGGTGTTTTTCAGCAAAATGTCCAGGAGTGCAGTGATTTTGTTACAAATAGTTGTGGGCCCTGGGACTCATCTTGTGAAAAATCATGAGACCTAGTCCAGAACCATTGAGTCCCAGTTGAAAAAAGAAAGAATCCTTAGTTGGGACTTTACTGTAACCATGCAGACAGTTAATCTGACTCCAAAACTCTGTATGGCAGTTTACTGAATTGAAAATACACTGCTTCTTTTATAAACCACAACAAAGACAAAACAATATTCATTGCTAAAAAGTAGCCACAAGAACAGCCACAGAAATCACTCGAACAGGATATTCTACAAAACTATCCTTAGATCTATCAATCTACCTTCGTGTCCTACAAGACGCATGCCACAAATTATTTTGCATGTTTGGGGATTTTTTTTGCATCAAAAATTAAAGATGCAGGTGCAGAGGTAACAGAATCACTGGGAGTGTGAATGGAATATTCTGAACAAAAAATCCACCATATCAACATCAACCGTTTCCAAAATAGCCAAACAATTTCCATTGTGGCAATTTGTGTTGACATCTGATGAAGCATCATCATTGGCTTTAGCAGTGAATAACCCTCGGCATTGGGTATGATCTAATTATGAACAAAATATCATGTATCGCTGATGTAATTTAAACCCAGCTAGTGAGGTCTGTGAAACAGTGCTGGGATCCTTGTTCTGGAACCAAAATGGATGCAATGAATTACCAACCACATTGGACGATCCAACAATGGCTTCTTTACAGACCAATCATAGCACATCATGTGATGGACTCTGATCCCGATACACAGCTGGGGACCCACAACAAGAATGTCGGTGCTCAGACATGCAGACAGACTTAATGCATGGTTCAGTTTTAGTTGTTGGACAAGTCCAGCCCTTCAGGCCCTGGCAGTCTTGTCCTGTGGGTAGGGGGGTGGGGGAAATAAAAAAATATCTTCTCTTTGATTTTGCGAAGTACGTATTATTTCTCGCACAGGTTTACACGACGGCTGCAGACCTCAAGACTACATATTTTTAAGGAAAAAAGCAGGAATTTGTCGCAGAGTGGTTGGAGAGGAATAACTTTTCAAAATTAAAGTCTGTATTTAAAGGTATGTTTTAAAACTTGAAACAAATGTGCATATGATGCATACTCAAATGGATTTTACTTTCTGGAAAGGAAGGACAGAAATATTTCTTCAGCTCAGCTTTAAATAATGATAAGTTTTTAAATGAAAATGAATACAAGGCTTTTGATATTATATATAGAGAATGTTCTCATGAAGTGTTCTCTTTTTAAAGAGTTTTTTCTTCTTTGTTTTCATTTTCAAATTTAGTGTTCATGTTTTAACTACATTATGACATCCATTATCCTTCTCTCAATAAACTCAGGAAAACGTTCATAAAAGTTGTGAAAGCATGTCGATTTCCTTTTATGCAGATCAACGGATGTAGCAAAAAATGAATATGAGGTCGATCAGAAGCTCGGGGGTGGGTAATTGTCTCTTTCTGCGTGCCCGGGAGTGAGGAAAAGACCTCCAAGAAAGGAAAATATAACAAATCCCCGGGGGTGTGCCCGGGGGGGGGGGAGCCATGGTTACAGTTAAAATTGCAGACACATACAAGCAGCACATAATGGCAAGGAAGGAAAGGGCTCCGTGATGTCACACCAAAAGTGTAATCAAACTTGAATAAACTTAATCGGGACGTTCCATTTTTAATCCGACCCCCCCCTGGATGAGCGGATTCCTACCAGTCGATTTAGACGAACTAACTGATTCCTACCAGTCGATTTAGACGAGTAAACTGATTCCTACCAGTCGACGATTTAGACGAATACTTAGACGAATAAACTGATTCCTACCGGATCGTTGTGCTGTGCGGATTCCTACGTCATTGTTATTGACAAGCAGGTCACGCTTTACTTCTCCCTTCAGTCTGTTGTTTCGTCTGGCGTTGTCTCGTGCATGGTGCATTGTCAACTAACTCAAGAAGTAACATTGTTTGTAGTCTTGGATACCTCTCAGTCAATCAAAAGAAAGCACTGCCTGGGAGCCTGTTACCCCACCGCCATAACGCCCCCCGTATAAGCCAATCAGAAGCGAAGTATCCACTTCTGAAATACCACCAAAATGCAAATATCCTTTTCCCTATAAACACTGCCGTCACTTAACACTGATCGTCGTAAAGTAAGAAAACACCCAGGAAAAAGTGCTAATTTTCAGTTAGTCTTCGTTCACAACACAACACTAGTAGAGGTTTCGGAATTATGAGTACTCAGAGCAATCTCAGGGTAGCCTGCGTAGCAAGCGTTTCCTCGCGAGTTCGTCGAGAACTGTTGGGACGAGAGCAAAAAAAAAAAGAAAGGACGGGGGGGGGGGAGGGGAATGAAGGAACCTTCACCTTTTTGCTCCCGCTCTAACTTTCGCGCAGTAACTCGATTGGAAACGCTTGCTACGCAGGCTAATCTCAGGGCTGCTGGAAGAGCGATTTGCACTCGGTAGGTAGAAACATATATCAGGCTTTTACGAGGTGTTCGATGGCCGGGGTAGAAACGTACACACCAACCTGACGTTATTGAGCTTCATCAGAAAAGGGCTTTCAAGCATAAATATTTAAGGTACAAGTAATAAATTAAAAACAAAGTTTCCACAATAGGACTATTTACAATATCACATATGCTAACTTAATACTTTGGCTTAGGCATTTCATGGTAAAACACCCTGCAAAAATGTTTAAGTAACTTTAAAGCCGGTTACATTTGTCTTGATATCATTAATCTTTTTGCAAATTTTTGTCTCGATTACAAAGAGAAAGGTTACTGATTCTGTTACAATAGACCCTAACCGTACTCACTATAGTTACTTTTCGCTTTTGAATGGCACATTACTGTAGGGTCGATATCGGGAGGTCGGAAATTAACGCTCACGTTAGGTTATTTCGTTTCATGCGGACCCCCGTGAAAACACCATACACTTAAAGTAAACAGAGCCAGAAAGGCAGGCAGAAGTCCGCAGAGCTGCTTGTTCGAGAGGCCGGATTGGTTCACCAAATGATTGTTACAGAAGTCTGCTGTTGTTTCCTAATATTCTCTACAAAGAAACATAGATATATTTTTTGTAAGAACCAGACGGACAAAGCTCACTTTCGCCTTCGAATGGTAAGTCACTGCTTACGATCAAACTCGATCATTGAACCTTCCTAGTTTTTAAACTACGCTGGTATTAAGGCTAGTCATCGAGAGACAGGCTTAAGATGCAGATGAAGAGTGAGGAAATCGGGAAATGTCCATCAAATGAATAAAATATTTCATAGTTTTGTCCAGCTACAAAATATTGACTTACAGCTAAGCGATATAGAATCCTATACCCGAAACACGCAATGCAAGTCGAAATTCGCTTAAGAACTTAAACCGAAAAGGTGGAAAGCAAGACGTATCATTAAAAATGTAATAAGAGGATTGAAAGCCTATTTAATAATAGGGTCAATTTGCCATTTTTAATTCTGACAGGCTACTCATTTAAGGTA